GATGCTATACATCACAAATCCTTTCGGCTCATTACTGGGATTATTGGTAATTTATTGGACCTCTAGGGCTTTCACCATAGTATAGACTCAATTACATTTGTCTCCAATTGTGTTATAGCTCAGCTAATTACATTTTTACAGAAGTGGACAGGGTCAGTTTCAATTTCCAGATAACACTGTTTTTTGTCCTTTGTGATATGAAGAAGTTGTGGCCATCTCAAAGTTCGCGACGATTTAGAAGCTTAATGTTGTCAAATTTGACATTAGGAAAATGGTAACCAAATTTTTAGCTCCAACCAATTTGGTTATAACTATTCCACAATGTATTAAGAGCAAGTCACTGTTGTAAAATTTAGTTTGTTGTGTAGGATAAACAATATATTTTGTCTGGGAAGGTGAAGGATCTGGTAATCTCTTCTTCAGATCAATCTGATTGTGCTCTAGTCTATTTGACCATTGCCAATCAACTGCTGAGGTCGAAGTCCTTTTTCCTTCTTTCTATCTCAAACAAGTTGCCAATCTCACTGCGATTTGGTGCTGCACAAGCTGTTTCCTCGGTTTGGGCACTAAAGTTCCTTGTGGAGTTTATTTCGTTCTTTATTTGCGCCTTGCTCTTATTTGCTTTTAATTTGTGAGCAATAGATGGATCTTGCTTAGGTCTTATTTACTTTTATTTCTGTTTCCTGTTTTTGAGAAAACAGATTTTGAAAATAGGTGAAAACAACATTTTGTCGTTTCCGAAAACAACAGAAAATTGCTATTTTCTGTTTTCATAGTTGGAAATAAATAGAAAACAAAATGAAAATTAAACAAGTTTTCTCGTTTCGGATGCCAAATTTATGACATGAAAACAGAAAACAGGAAACGAAAATGGAAGTGAATAGTTTTTTTTAACAAAATGTTGACATCAACAGTATAATTTATAGCTGAAAGGTAAAACTGCAACCCCCATTCAAATTTTCCTGTCCATAGAGTGATTTTAGGAAGCTGATGTGGCAGGGTGTTAAGCGGGAAAAAAAATAAAACTCCCCCCAGAACTGAGAAACCGTCCCTCCCCACCTTTTCTCCTGGTTTCCCACGTTATCATTTAATTTTCATTAATTTTCGTTTGACTGAAATTAAGCCCACATTTTCTACTGGTTATTAAGAGAGAGAAGAAATTCACGGAAAGGGAATCACAATTGCAATCACATTACAGAGAGAGAGGGGGAAAGGTGAAAGGGAGGAGGAAGGAGGTTGCTTACCCTTTTTCAGATACGATCTGCGGAAGGAGGTTGCTTCCCGTTGGCGGTAAAGTAGAAAGCGTCGGGGTTTCCATGGTCGGGGATCAAGGACAGCTTTAAGGAGCGGAGGGTTTGGGGCTGCCATGGATCGGATGTAAGGGTTTGGAGGCGGCGGGAATTTGGGCTTCTGAGGAGAACCTGGATCGATTTGGGGTGCATATTTGCGGGTAAACTTTCTAGGGTTTGGGAAGACAAAATTGAATCGTGTAATTGAGGAGAGAAATCGGAAGAACACCGTCTCCCCCGCCGCCACGAACCCTGCTTCTTCTTTCTTCTCTGCTTCAGCCTCTAGAAGGTTCCTCCAAATCGCTCCATCTACTCTTGGATTGGTTTATTCTATTTCTCCCCCTTTCATTAACTCTTTACATTCTGGGTTCAGTTCATATTCATTGCATTCTGAACGAGGGTGCTTTCCAAGACCCTAAGTTATTCAACTCTTTACAACGTCGGTGGTGGTTTCTGTATTGTGGAAACTCTCCTTGGCAGCTAGGTCACTTTCAACCAGCCATAGTTCCCCTTCGTTCCCTCTTTGTCGTTGTCGCTATCAACGGACAATTGGTTTCCCTTTGTGTAAGTCATTTCGAGGGTTTTATGTAATTATGAGTTTGCCTGCTTTCAAATTCTTGAATACCTACGCAACCATTTCAATTACCTCTTCTTTATTGACCTCACAATTGTGATTGTGCAATACCTAGAAATCGATAAAAGACTGGGTAGCTCAATAGTTGTCTCAAAGGATACCATTTCACAGGTTGCAGGTTTAATTGCCTATTTCCTCTAATAAGTCAGTACTGTATGTGTTTGTGTGTACGCAAAGTCTTAGGGGAAGAACCACAGCAGGTTTTGGTTTTCAACTTCAACTGTCGCAGCTGTTACTTCTCCGTGGAATTTCCTGCGTGGAATTTCCTGCCATTACAATTTACTTACTCACGGCGCACCTGTTACTTCTCTGTTTTCGTGCTTTGCTGTAGTTTCCTTTGAGTTCGAGTGAATTTTGGTTTGATCATCTTTGGTGTACATTGTTTGAATTCCGATTTTGCGATGGTTTTTCAGACACACCATTTCTGGGTAGCTGAACAACCAAAATAGAGGAGGCGAGACTTTCAGAAGTAGAAGGCTCAACCTGATGAAGTCAAGGTAGATGGGGAATGGCGTTTCCATAAGGGAAGTGAACTTAGATCCATTGACCGGCTGTTCAATGGTGAGAACCTGTTCCTGCCGTTTACTTTTGATTCTTTGCTTTTCACGTTGTTCCGATCAAAACTCTGATTGTTTTGCTGCCGATATTGAAGACTTTAGGCGGAAATTGGAACTGAGTCTAAAGTTTCAGATCTACTACTTCTCCAAACCAAAACCTCAGTACATTAACGTAAGTTATAGCTCCTGGTTTCTTACTTTTTTTGTGGTGATTAGAGTAGGGTAACGGGAGCTTTGAGTAAGTTATAGTTTCTTTGTTTTCTTGCTTGAGCATGATAACCTGATAGTTACCTCTTTTCAGCATCACTGTTATTTTAATGTTTGTACATTAGCTCTGATGACTTTGAATGGTCCTAGGTAAACAAAGTTGCATATCTATGAATGATAACATGATGATCTGAATCGTCACTGTAAATGCTTGAAATTGTGTTAATTCCTGACCCCAACTCCGAAATTTCCCCTCCCAACCCTGAATCCCCTGCCATTTTAAAAAAAGAGAAAGAGTATATTAGTAATGACTAATGTAGGGAAACTGATGATATGATCTCATTGTGTAGGTAGTTGCTAGCAGCAGCTGTAGTTGAAATGTTGGTTTGTGCATATTTTTAGGGTACAGAAGATGTACGTAGATATGTAGTTCATATTGTTTGGTTTTATCTCTTTGGAGCAAATGTTAATGATGATTAATGACATTGTAGAAAGAACCGTAACATACTCAGTTCCATCTCGAATTTCACATAGTTAAGTCGACAACGATCCTCTTTTTGGCAGCTTCAAGCTCCTCTCCCTTTAAGTGTTTGATCTTGCATTGGTAGGGTATCTTTAGCTTCTGTTTATTTCATGCTTTTGTGCTCATGATCTGTGAAACTCATAAGCTAATTTGAATATACATTAATGTTTTGGTTTCACATTGGATGATTGCATGTTTATTTGACTTTAAGGATTATGCAAATTATGCTTGACCTCAAAGACACTGGCTGGCCGATGTAGCTCAAGCTTCACCTGCTTTGCATTTGGGGTTTGAATGCCATTTGTAACCTTTATTAAGGACTGCACATCATGAGCTTTTGGATTGAGAGGCAATTTGATTCAGAAACTGAATGTGTAGCTATATATTAGGGCTTATGCAAATTATGTCATCAATCGACAGTTCTGTACAGCTCTGGAATTACAATTGAGTTTAATGTAGTCAAAAAAGGAAAACTGATGGCCAGAAACACATGATGGTGATCAGGGTGACCTTTTGGCACTATTATATGTAGATTCAAAATGTAAATAGTTGCTGGTGGGAGCTGCATTTGCCCTATTTATGTATGTTCAGCTTAGATGTAACAACCTATAGGAACTTGCATGTCTCAGTAAATATGTAGAAACTTAACTTTTCCCAGGTTTGTGACTTTTGTTTTAAGTGTTTGTCATAACTTCCCCATTCTGTCTTTGTGTTCCAGGGGCAGGTGATTTTTTTTCCGGTGTATTTTAGGTGCAGATCCACAGAGGAGAGGACCGCAGTGGATGGTCACTGGATTCATTCACTGCCCAGCCGGTCGTTAATCCTCTCAGTGTCGTCGGCTGCACTATTGGGTTTCAGCTTCTTTCCCTACTCAATCGTGGTTCCAACTGCCTACTTGCATTTTCAAGAGGGGTTCTTCGAGTCGAGGGGTCAGGAAATGACATACTTGGTCTGTTTAGCAGGGGAGTTGTTCATCAACATCAATTAGTGACTTCTGAGGTCGCTTCGAAGGCTGCAATTCCAAGTAATTTATCTTTCCCTAGCTCTTATTTTTGGTTGAGGGCCTGGGATGCTTAATGATTAGTAATGGCGGATTGGAAAAGAAAATCATGGTGGTGGTCGACTGTCATTTCCCATATTTTCAACTGTGGTTTAGGGTTCATATGGTGATATTAATTAGACCAGCAGAATGGAATTGAGAATCATGTTGATGGTCCGTTTTGTGATTTAAAAACATTTTGGATGAATGGTTGACTTGGTAGACTCCATCGGCGTTTAGACTCTTCTTCTTATCACTACATAAGTACAAGGTAGATTCAACTTCGGTGGATTATTTATGTGTTTATGTTATGGGAAAATCATGAGTTCGGATGGACCGATCGAATGTGTTACATTTTTCATGATACGTTACCAAACACCAGCAGGGTAAGCTAATGTTAGAAATACTGAAACCTCGCTTCATTATAAGAGTTTAGTTTATTCAATCACTCTAGAAATCAAGACTTCATAGAGGATAATGGACTGGTGTCTTTTCGTCCGGTTTTGATTTCTGTTTCCATCCGCTTTACTTTTTTTGTTTAAATTTATAGGCCGCCCTCAACTTGGTTGGAGCATTTTGGATTTCTTCGACTGTTATGTTTGTGTGGTCTGTTGTGTGTATCATTAACTCGCACAAACTTATGATTGGTGAGGAGTTCAGCTTCTGTTGTAACAAATACATTAATTTATATGAATGGCAGCTGCAAAGTTTATTGGAACGAGTGCATCATTTACCACGACCTCTATTTCAGATTGCGTAAGTTTATTGCAGAATTAAATATGGATAGTGCAAATGTCATCCCATCTGCCGAACCACAGATTTATCGATCGTCTGTACCATGTGAGTGTCATGGTTTAGCACGAAACTGTTTCAATGATAGATATGTTAATATTTTCCCTTGCATTTCATTTGTTTAGGGAAACGTCGAGCAGTTTTTATTCATCCTGAAGATCAGTACCAACGCTTTGTTTTATCTGCTGAAGAGGAAGAAGCATTTGAGAGAGGTGTGTTCTCTGCGTTTTAATTTTTCTAATTAGTTCATCTATTCAATGAGTAATACATGGTTTTATATTTAAATTCTGCAGATGAAGCTGCCTTACAATTCCAACTCTCTCAACTTCGGAGAATGCTATCCCAAGTTGCCCGTAAGAGAAGACATCATATTTTGAAACACAAGGTTCATAGGAGGGGCTTGCGTTTTGAACACCAAGGTTGTTGTTTCCTAAATTTTGTAGCAAGTCTTACATATTAGGCTATTCTATATTGTTTCACTCTTTATTTATTTCTTTATTAACTTAAATTTTAGTTATTCTTACTTAAAATGAGAAGTATACCATTCTATCTTTCCTTGAAAACATTTGTTTTAATAATTGTGTTTAATGTAGCGCGAGTACATGAGCTTGACAGTTTCTCAAACTCATTCAATTTATCAATTACTGTGACAAAAATTTATTAATATTACTTATCTATTTCACTAGGTCTTCCGTTGGTTGAATTTTTTGATATTGGTCCACCTTCATGTACGTGTCAACATTGTGGAGCAGTTATGTGGCGGTTCGAGAGTACTTTATCTACACGGAATGATGTGTTGCATACATTTCCTTTATGTTGCAAACTTGGTAAAGTGAAATTGCCTCCCCGCAGAGATGTGCCCGAATTTCTTAAAACTCTACTTGAAGGGGATACACCATTAGCGCGTCACTTTCGTACTAACATCAGAGCCTATAATGGGGTTTTTTGCTTTATTTCTCTCGGAGGTAAAGTCAATCACTCTATTAATGATGGTCGTGGAGTTTATGTATATTCAATCGGTGGTCAGATTTATCATCGAATAGGATGTTTGGTTCCTGGTGATGGGGATAGTCCGAAATTTGCACAGCTTTACATTCACGATTCAGATAACGAGGTCCAAAATCGTATGGACTTTTACTCCACTGATCCTGCCAAGAATCCGTTGCGCCAGTGTATTGTTGAAGGCCTCCAACATATGTTTGATGACAATAATATCCTGGTACGTACATTTCGTTCTGCGCGAGATAGGATACAAAACTCTGGTGTCCAGGAGCTTCAACTGAAACTAGTGGCTAAGCGTGAAATTAATAGTAGAGAATATGATTTGCCCTCTGCGAATGAGATTGCAGATTTGATTGTAGATGAAACAGGAGAGCAATCATTTTCTCCAAATATAATTGTTCAACAGAAGGGTTCAGAAATGGAAAGGATTAGCGTATACCATCCAAGTCTGATGGCATTACAATATCCAATTTTATTCCCATATGGCGAGGATGGGTGGCATCCCTGTATTAGCTATAGTCACAGTAGCTCTAATATCCGTGTTGGAGATAAAATGATAACGCAGTGTGATTTCTATGCGTATCGTCTTCAAACCCGTCTCCAGGAGTCGAATTCTCTGTTATTATCTGGTAAATTGTTTCAACAATATATGATGAATGCATTTGCGTTAATTGAGGCTGAACGCTTAGACTGGATGCGTACCCATCAGTCGAAGCTAAGAGGACACTACTACAAGGATTTGTTGACTTCTTATTTGCGAGGGGATAGTGATATCAAGCTTTCTGGGAATCCAGTTATTTTAGCTGCCTCACACACTGGTAGTCCAAGATACAAGTATGAAAATTTTCAGGATGCGATGGCTATTTGCAAGTGGATTGGTTATCCTGATTTGTTTATAACATTCACTTGCAATTCTAACAGGCCAGAGATACAGTTAATGGTTGATTTGATTAGAAGGTACAGTGGCAAAGATCCTGACCGGGCTGACATCACCGCCAGAGTTTTCAAAATCAAGCTTGATGAGTTTATTTTAGAGATTCGCGAGAAACAAATATTTGGGAAAATCAATGCATGTATGTGTGCTTATTTATTCGTTATTTATCTATTAATGTTCATCCATTACTCTCTTACCTCATTGAACTAATATTCCTTTTATACTATTTGCATCTTGCTATACAGATGTCAAAGCAATTGAATGGCAAAAGCGGGGTCTCCCTCATGCACACATATTGCTTTTTTTGGCCTCAGAGAATAAATTCCATGGTCCTGCGGCTATTGTTTCCATAATATGTGCTGAAATTCCGGATCCTGATCTTGATCCTGAACTATATGCAGTTGTCACAAGTTCAATGATGCATGGCCCGTGTGGTACAGTACGTCCTAATAATGTGTGCATGAAGAATGAGACATGTAGTAAACATTTCCCCAATGAATACTCTTGTCAAACAACTATCGATGAAACTGGGTTTGCTAAATATCGTCGGCGGAACAATGGTAGAGTTTTCAACTGTGGCGGGGTTGATCTGGATAATCGATGGGTTGTACCTTACAATCGATATTTGTTACTACGATTTGGAGCGCATATCAATATTGAATATTGTAACAAGACAAGATATGGCTGAAGTAAATCGTATTTATCAATATGACATTGTTGTTTCCTTTATTATATTACCAAACGGAGATTCTTAATGACAGGCTATATGTATATTTATATGCTACACTCATTATTAACTTTATGCATGCATATGAATTATGATTTAATTTTCAAAGATGAATAAAAACCAAACCAATATTTGTGCGATTTCTCTTTTTATTTATTTATTTATTTTATAAATCCAATGTTATCTTATTGGCGTGACTTCTTCCCGCAACTCTGTAATTTTTGTAATATTTTTTGCTGTGTTTTCCTTCGTTTTTTTTTTGCCCCTTGAATAAGCTATTGTGATCCATTTGTTGCCTTTTGTTCTCTGTACTTTGGTTTCTTATTTAATACAAGTCACATTTAAGAAAAAATGCAATACACCTTTTTCCTACTTCCCTATCTAACATCTACAACTTGGTTTTATTTGATGTTTATATAGGGCTGTTAAATATTTGTTTAAGTACATCAACAAACCCGAGGATCGTGCAATGGTCACTGTAGCTGCACAACAAACCGCTTCGGCTACGGATGGTCAGAATCGTGGAACTACGATTGTGCAAATCGATGAGATAGAGGCATTCATGGATGCCCGTTACATCACATCGGGAGAAGCATGTTGGAGAATTTTTAGGTTTGATATATACTCTCACTCCCCAACAGTACTCCGTATGTCCTGTCATTTGCCTGGGGAGAATACAGTGTATTCAAATGTTGATTCTAACGTGGAGGAAGCGGTTGAGTCTAGCGGTTCTCAAACCTCAATGTTGTTAGCATGGATGGATCTGAATCTTCAGTCAATGGATGCACGGAATATACCTTTGCAGAGATGCCACAATATTATGTATGGAATAAAAAATACAAGAAGTGGCAGCAGCGCAAGAAAGGTACCTGCATTGCTAGATTATATTACTACTACCCATCCGCAAAGGAGCGGTACTATTTGCGAATGCTATTGCATGTTGTTAGGGGTTGTTGTTCTTATGATGATATTAGAACAGTGAATGGGGTGGTATATGAGACATTCCAAAAAGCATGTTATGCTCGGGGACTGTTATTAGGAGATTCTGAATGGAATGATTGTGTACAAGAAGCTTCTGTACAATTCTTATTCATTGTCAAGTGGCTGATGTGACTTCTTTTTGGTTAAAGAATTGGGAATTACTAAGTGAAGGCATTTTGCATTCACGACGTAGAGAGCTGAATTTACCCCAGTTGAATTTGTCGGAGGATGAAATTAAGGAGTTGTGCCTTATTCATATTGACAAATTGATGGAGAGATTTTCGAAGTCATTAGCAGATTTCACTGGGTTGCCTGTTCCCGATCAGTGTTTGCGTTCACATACGGTAAACAGGCTGATAGATATGGAGATGAATTATGGACCCGGTGACTTAGACAGTTCTGAGGATCGACATTGTAGACCGTTGAATGGAGAACAAAAACTCTCTTACGAAATGGTATTACATTCTGTTTATACCAATGAGGGTAAATGCTTTTTTGTTGATGGATTTGGGGGTACTGGTAAGACATTTCTGTGGCGAGCAATTTGTGAGCAATTAAAATTTGAGAAGAGGATAGTATTATGTGTTGCTTCATCTGGTATTGCTGCACTGCTCATGGTCGGTGGAAGAACTGCACACTCAAGATTTCACATTCCCCTGGATTGTGATACAAAATCAACTTGCAATATTGAGCAAGGTTCTGAGGTAGCTGAATTGATTCTCAATGCTTCACTTATTATCTGGGATGAGGCACCGATGGCTCATAAACACAACATAGAGGCCCTAGATAGGACATTGAGGGATATTTTCCGAGTTAAGCATGTTGATTCTGAGTTGAAGCCTTTTGGAGGTATGACTATTGTGTTTGGAGGTGATTTCCGACAGACGTTACCTATCATCACGAAGGGTACACGGACTGAAATTGTTAATTCTTCCATAAAGAGATCTTATTTGTGGCGGTCTATGACAGTATTGAAGCTAACCGAGAACATGTGATTAAAATTGCCTCATTAGGTTAGCAATCTCAAATTTTAGCAAATGGCTTTTGGAAATTGGTGATGGTACAAATAGTAATATTTTTGGAGAATCAATTATCCGGATACCTCTACACATTTGTGTTCCCCGTCGCAGTGATCCAATTCCTGATATTGTTGCTGAAATATATGGTCAGTTACTCTCCACTGAAAATATGTCAACCTATTTGGTTGAGCGAGCTATCTTATCCCCTCATAATGACACTGTTGCGGCGATTAACAATTATGTATTGGGTCTATTTCCTGGTGAAGAAGTTTCTTATTTTAGTTCGGATTCACTAGAGATTGATGCCAAGAATCAGCATGTTGAAGAAGGGGACTACATAGTTGAATTCTTGAACTCTTTAAAGATTGGGAATTTTCCCGAACATGAGTTGAAATTGAAGTTGGGGTGCCCTGTTATTCTACTTCGAAATATGGATCTGAGTATTGGGCTTTGCAATGGAACTCGAATGATCGTTAAGAGATTAGGTAAGTGGTTTATTGATGTCCAAATTTTGACCGGGACACATGTTGGTGATACAGTTTTCTTACCACGCCTAACTCTATCGGTCCACTATAAGAGCTTAAATTTCACTCTGGTTCGATGACAATATCCAATTGCACTGTCATATGCAATGACAATTAACAAGAGTCAAGGTCAAACATTAAAGCATGTTGGCATCTGCTTGCAAAAACAAGTATTTTCTCATGCACAGTTGTATGTTGCTATGTCTCGAGTTACGTCGGAAAGGGAACTCAAAATTCTTAGTTGTGACTCTCATGGTAAACCGGTGAAGACTATGCAGAACATTGTGTTCACTGAGATTTTTGAGTAGTGGTTTATTGATCTATTATGTTTTATGCGATTTGAGGACTAAGACTGTCAAATTTATCGGGTCGTTACAATTTGAATCTTGAGTTCTCAATTTCTCCAAATTATTTTCCTGTTTTTAATAGCCAATTATATGAAATGTTGTACCTCAACTTACTCTACCGAATGGTATGCCAGTGTGACCGTTATATTGCAATACAAAGAGGACCTTCCACAGTCTCAACTG